ATGGTCCAGGACGACATGATAATGGTCCAGGACTTGATAATGGTCCAGGACGACATGGTAATGGTCCAGGACGACATGATAATGGTCCAGGACGACATGATAATGGTACAGGACGACATGATAATGGTCCAGGACGGCATGATAATGGTCCAGGACGAAATGATAATGGTCCAGGACGACATGATAATGGTCCAGGACTTGATAATGGTCCAGGACGACATGGTAATGGTCCAGGACGACATGATAATGGTCCAGGACGACATGATAATGGTCCAGGACGACATGATAATGGTCCAGGACGGCATGATAATGGTCCAAGACGACATGATAATGGTCCAGGACGACATGGTAATGGTCCAGGACGAAATGATAATGGTCCAGGACGACATGGTAATGGTCCAGGACGGCATGATAATGGTCCAGGACTTGATAATGGTCCAGGACGACATGATAATGGTCCAGGACGACATGATAATGGTCCAGGACGACATGATAATGGTCCAGGACGACATGATAATTAGTCCAGGACGACATGATAATGGTCCAGGACGACATGATAATTAGTCCAGGACGACATGATAATGGTCCAGGACGACATGATAATGGTCCAGGATGACATGATAATGGTCCAGGACGACATGATAATGGTCCAGAACGACATGATAATGGTCCAGAACGACATGATAATGGTCCAGGACGACATGATAATGGTCCAGGAGGACATGATAATGGTACAGAACGACATGATAATGGTCCAGGACGACATGATAATGGTCCAGGACGACATGCTAATGGTCCAGGACGACATGATAATTGTCCAGCACGGCATGATAATGATCCAGGACGACATGATAATGGTCCAGGACGGCATGATAATGATCCAGGACGACATGATAATGGTCCAGGAGGACATCATAATGGTCCAGAGGACATGATAATGGTCCAGAAACATGATAATGGTCCAGGACGACATGATAATGGTCCAGGACGACATGATAATGGTCCAGGACGGCATGATAATGATCCAGGACGACATGATAATGGTCCAGGACGGCATGATAATGGTCCAGGACGGCATGATAATGGTCCAGGACGGCATGATAATGGTCCAGGACGGCATGATAATGGTCCAGGACGACATGATAATGGTCCATGACGACATGATAATGGTCCAGAACGACATGATAATGGTCCAGGACGACATGATAATGGTCCAGGACGACATGATAATGGTCCAGGACGACATGATAATGGTCCAGGACGGCATGATAATGGTCCAGGACGACATGATAATGGTCCAGGACGACATGATAATGGTCCAGGACGGCATGATAATGGTCCAGGACTTGATAATGGTCCAGGACGACATGATAATGGTCCAGGACGACATGATAATGGTCCAGGACGACATGATAATGGTCCAGGACGACATGATAATGGTCCAGGACGACATGATAATGGTCCAGGACGACATGATAATTAGTCCAGGACGACATGATAATGGTCCAGGACGACATGATAATGGTCCAGGATGACATGATAATGGTCCAGGAGGACATGATAATGGTCCAGAACACATGATAATGGTCCAGAACGACATGATAATGTTCCAGGACGACATGATAATGGTGCAGGAGGACATGATAATGGTCCAGAACGACATGATAATGGTCCAGGACGACATGATAATGGTCCAGGACGACATAATAATGGTCCAGCACGGCGTGATAATGATCCAGGACGACATGATAATGGTCCAGGACGGCATGATAATGGTCCAGGACGACATGATAATGGTCCAGGAGGACATGATAATGGTCCAGAGGAAATGATAATGGTCCAGAAACATGATAATGGTCCAGACACGACATGATAATGGTCCAGGACGACATGATAATGGTCCAGACACACATGATAATGGTCCAGACACACATGATAATGGTCCACACACGGCATGATAATGGTCCAGACACACATGATAATGGTCCAGACACGGCATGATAATGGTCCAGGACGGCATGATAATGGTCCAGGACGACATGATAATGGTCCAGACACGACATGATAATGGTCCAGGACGACATGATAATGGTCCAGGACGACACGATAATGGTCCAGGACGACATGATAATGGTCCAGGACGGCATGATAATGGTCCAGGACGACACGATAATGGTCCAGGACGACACGATAATGGTCCAGGACGACATGATAATGGTCCAGGACGGCATGATAATGGTCCAGGACGACATGATAATGGTCCAGGACGACATGATAATGGTCCAGGACGGCATGATAAGGGTCCAGGACGACACGATAATGGTCCAGGACGACATGATAATGGTCCAGGACGGCATGATAATGGTCCAGGACGACATGATAATGGTCCAGGACGACATGATAATGGTCCAGGACGACATGATAATGGTCCAGGACGACATGATAATGGTCCAGGAGGACATGATAATGGTCCAGGACGACATGATAATGGTCCAGGACGACATGATAATGGTCCAGGAGGACATGATAATGGTCCAGGACGACATGATAATGGTCCAGGACGACATGATAATGGTCCAGGACGACATGATAATGGTCCAGGACGACATGATAATGGTCCAGGAGGACATGATAATGGTCCAGGACGACATGATAATGGTCCAGGACGACATGATAATGGTCCAGGAGGACATGATAATGGTCCAGGACGACATGATAATGGTCCAGGACGACATGATAATGGTCCAGGACGACATGATAATGGTCCAGGACGACATGATAATGGTCCAGGACGACATGATAATGGTCCAGGAGGACATGATAATGGTCCAGGACGACATGATAATGGTCCAGACACACATGATAATGGTCCAGACACGACATGATAATGGTCCAGGACGACATGATAATGGTCCAGGACGGCATGATAATGATCCAGGACACATGATAATGGTCCAGACACGGCATGATAATGGTCCAGGACGGCATGATAATGGTCCAGACGGCATGATAATGGTCCAGGACGGCATGATAATGGTCCAGACACGACATGATAATGGTCCAGGACGACATGATAATGGTCCAGACACGACATGATAATGGTCCAGACACGACACGATAATGGTCCAGGACGACACGATAATGGTCCAGGACGACATGATAATGGTCCAGGACGGCATGATAATGGTCCAGGACGACATGATAATGGTCCAGGACGACATGATAATGGTCCAGGACGGCATGATAATGGTCCAGGACTTGATAATGGTCCAGGACGACATGATAATGGTCCAGGACGACATGATAATGGTCCAGGACGACATGATAATGGTCCAGGACGACATGATAATTAGTCCAGGACGACATGATAATGGTCCAGGACGACATGATAATTAGTCCAGGACGACATGATAATGGTCCAGGACGACATGATAATGGTCCAGGATGACATGATAATGGTCCAGGAGGACATGATAATGGTCCAGAACGACATGATAATGGTCCAGAACGACATGATAATGGTCCAGGACGACATGATAATGGTCCAGGAGGACATGATAATGGTCCAGAACGACATGATAATGGTCCAGGACGACATGATAATGGTCCAGGACGACATAATAATGGTCCAGCACGGCGTGATAATGATCCAGGACGACATGATAATGGTCCAGGACGGCATGATAATGATCCAGGACGACATGATAATGGTCCAGGAGGACATGATAATGGTCCAGAGGAAATGATAATGGCCCAGAAACATGATAATGGTCCAGGACGACATGATAATGGTCCAGGACGACATGATAATGGTCCAGGATGGCATGATAATGATCCAGGACGACATGATAATGGTCCAGGACGACATGATAATGGTCCAGGACGACATGATAATGGTCCAGGACGGCATGATAATGGTCCAGGACGGCATGATAATGGTCCAGGACGGCATGATAATGGTCCAGGACGGCATGATAATGGTCCAGGACGACATGATAATGGTCCAGGACGACATGATAATGGTCCAGGACGACACGATAATGGTCCAGGACGACACGATAATGGTCCAGGACGACATGATAATGGTCCAGGACGGCATGATAATGGTCCAGGACGACATGATAATGGTCCAGGACGACATGATAATGGTCCAGGACGGCATGATAATGGTCCAGGACGACATGATAGTGGTCCAGGACGACATGATAATGGTCCAGGACGACATGATAATGGTCCAGGACGACATGATAAGGGTCCAGGACGACACGATAATGGTCCAGGAGGACATGATAATGGTCGAGGACGACATGATAATGGTCCAGGACGACATGATAATGGTCCAGGACGACATGATAATGGTCCAGGACGACATGATAATGGTCCAGGAGGACATGATAATGGTCCAGGACGACATGATAATGGTCCAGGACGACATGATAATGGTCCAGGAGGACATGCTAATGGTCCAGGACGACATGATAATGGTCCAGGAGGACATGATAATGGTCCAGGACGACATGATAATGGTCCAGGACGACATGATAATGGTCCAGGAGGACATGCTAATGGTCCAGGACGACATGATAATGGTCCAGGACGACATGATAATGGTCCAGGACGACATGATAATGGTCCAGGACGACATGATAATGGTCCAGGACGACATGATAATGGTCCAGGAGGACATGATAATGGTCCAGGACGACATGATAATGGTCCAGGAGGACATGATAATGGTCCAGGACGACATGATAATGGTCCAGGACGACATGATAATGGTCCAGGAGGACATGATAATGGTCCAGGACGACATGATAATGGTCCAGGACGACATGATAATGGTCCAGGACGACATGATAATGGTCCAGGACGACATGATAATGGTCCAGGACGACATGATAATGGTCCAGGAGGGACCACACGTTCACAGCTTCTCCATCGTCTGAGTTTTGTCATCATTAAACCACGTTAAAATGACTCATCGTATTCATTAACAGATCCTAAACTGATGGTTCAGCACTCAGAGCCTCGCAAACTGATGGTTCAACACTCAGAGCCTCGCAAACTGATGGTTCAGCACTCAGAGCCTCGCAAACTGATGGTTCAGCACTCAGAGCCTCGCAAACTGATGGTTCAACACTCAGAGCCTCGCAAACTGATTGTTCAACACTCAGAGCCTCGCAAACTGATGGTTCAGCACTCAGAGCCTCGCAAACTGATGGTTCAACACTAAGAGCCTCGCAAACTGATGGTTCAGCACTCAGAGCCTCGCAAACTGATGGTTCAACACTCAGAGCCTCGCAAACTGATGGTTCAACACTCAGAGCCTCGCAAACTGATGGTTCAACACTCAGAGCCTCGCAAACTGATGGTTCAGCACTCAGAGCCTCGCAAACTGATGGTTCAACACTCAGAGCCTCGCAAACTGATGGTTCAGCACTCAGAGCCTCGCAAACTGATGGTTCAACATCAGAGCCTCGCAAACTGATGGTTCAACACTCAGAGCCTCGCAAACTGATGGTTCAGCACTCAGAGCCTCGCAAACTGATGGTTCAACACTCAGAGCCTCGCAAACTGATGGTTCAACACTCAGAGCCTCGCAAACTGATGGTTCAGCACTCAGAGCCTCGCAAACTTTTGGTTCAACACTCAGAGCCTCGCAAACTGATGGTTCAACACTCAGAGCCTCGCAAACTGATGGTTCAGCACTCAGAGCCTCGCAAACTGATGGTTCAGCACTCAGAGCCTCGCAAACTGATGGTTTAGCACTCAGAGCCTCGCAAACTGATGGTTCAGCACTCAGAGCCTCGCAAACTGATGGTTCAACACTCAGAGCCTCGCAAACCGATGGTTCAGCACTCAGAGCCTCGCAAACTGATGGTTCAACACCCAGAGCCTCGCAAACTGATGGTTCAACACTCAGAGCCTCGCAAACGAGCGTAAGAAGAAGCTCCCTTAGGGTCATTTTCTATAGTAAAGTGACAGCCGATTAACTTTCTCTTAAACACACATCAGCTTCCCAGGTAAAGAACATCTAATCCAATAAAAATGTTTTTGTCGTGAGGTGTTGATGGAGGTATTGGGAAGTAGTTCAGGTATTGACTTCGATGTCGCCCACTGTATCTGGACACAGGTTGACTGACAGCTGTGAGACGAGACCAAAGAGCCGAAACACAACCACCGCAAGCACACCTAGGTGAGTACAACTTGGTAAATACTGTGTTATATTAATAGGCTGAAACATCATTAACCATTACAAAATGGTTTACGTCTTTTGACGTATTTACCTTGATACATTTACTCAGTGAATGCGTTTTACCTCATCTGACGTTTCTGACTAAACAAATTTTAGGAACTTCTGTTATTCATATAATTTTCCGCATTTCACTGGCTATTATTAATAAATAAAACATGAAATTGGTAATGTCTTCTCTCAGACATAATAACACAGGATAAAACCCACACTTGTGTATTTGTGAAATTTATGAAAGGAATTTACACCAAGTCTTTCACACTCTTCTGAGTGTTTTGTCAAGGTCTGAGTGTGTGAGGAGGACCAGACTTACATCTCAACGTCTAATGAGACAGATATCTGTTTGTTGTTGTTGTTGTTGTTTAAGAATCAGTTACTAGGAACAAAAAGTTCCAAGTAGAATGAATAAGCAGTAAAACAAATTAAGTAAACAGAACATCGTATATATATATATATATATATATATATATATATATATATATATATATATATATATATATATATATATATATATATATATATATATAATATATATATATATATATATATATATATATATATATATATATATATATATATATATATATATATATATATATATATTTGTACCTCGATACTTCCTATAATACTTTTCTTTCTGAAATACGGTCATGTTAGTCACACCGATGTCAATATTGATGTCACATATCTAGTCAACGAACGCCTTTCATCAGGTAAATGGCTCGACCAAAATCCTACGGTATTCCGTATTGTTCCAATGTTGTAGATTTCCCTGGGGTTGAATCCTGCTTATTGAAGTAGAGTTCAACTTGCCTATAGTTAACACAGTGCTATGGTAACTCGACATTTATTCCCACCAGCTTCCTACAGAACAGTTCCACGTAACGTGAATACTCTGGTGCTCATACTACAGTAGTGACAATGCTCTGGTTGCAACGAAAACAGGAGAGGATTGCACATACACAAGTTATACAAGTAGCAGCCGTCTTGCACAAATCAATATACAGACAGAGAGGAAAGCTACATTTACCTGCAATCCCTCTAACTAGACAGGGAAGGAGACAGGAACTGCACCTCCAAAAGATAGACAATACTAATTAGAAAAGACAGTACCTGTAGACGGGGGTGACGGAAGCGTTCTTGTACCAGAGGACAAGGAGCACCGGGTCCTCGGGGTTGATGGAGTTAATGTTGCAGGGAAGTTTGGCTGTGGACCCTCTGACAGCTGTCACCGCCACCAGAGTACCTGCTGAACACACACACCACACAATTAATTTCTTGCCCGAACATCCGTAACTAATATATATATATATATATATATATATATATATATATATATATATATATATATTTATATATATATATATATATATAGATATATAATATATATATATATATATATATATATATATATATATATATATATATATATATATATATTATATATATATATATATATATATATATATATATATATGTCGTACCTAGTAGCCAGAATGCACTTCTGAGCCTACTATGCAAGGCCCGATTTGCCTAATAAGCCAAGTTTTCATGAATTAATTGTTTTTCGACTACCTAACCTACCTAACCTAACCTAACCTAACTTTTCTGGCTACCTAACCTAACCTAACCTAACTTTTCTGGCTACCTAACCTAACCTAACCTATAAAGATAGGTTAGGTTAGGTTAGGTAGGGTTGGTTAGGTTCGGTCATATATCTACGTTAATTTTAACTCTAATAAAAAAAATTGACCTCATACATAATGAAAAGGGTAGCTTTATCATTTCATTAGAACAAAATTAGAGAAAATATATTAATTCATTAATTCATGAAAACTTGGCTTATTAGGCAAATCCGGCATTGCATAGTAGGCTAACAAGTGCGTTCTGGCTACTAGGTACGACATATATATTTATATATATATATATATATATATATATATATATATATATATATATATATATATATATATATTATATATATATATATATATATATATATATATATATATATATATAAATAAATATATATATATAAATAAATATACATATAAATAAAATATATATATATATATATATATATATATATATATATATATATATATATATATATATATATATATATATATATATATATATATATATATATATATATTACAAAATAAGACCGAAAAATTATGATTAACAATTCTAACACGAATTTCCTCAATATTTCTTATATTTCTTTTCACTGTTGAGGGTAATTGAAAAATCAATTCTCCTAAATTCATTGACAATTCATTCAACATTTGAACGCGTTTCGTAATAACTTATTACATTTTCAAAGACTTTTAGTTTACACACACACACCTATAACCTGCAAACACTAAACAGAGTTCTTACTATGCTATGATTTAAACAGCGTTCATTTTATTTTATACCTGCATTTTGAGTGAGGTGATATGTTACAACAGTTTTGGATGAGGTGAACAAAACTTTCTACTCAAGACAGAACACGAAACAATGGGTATTAATTGGGTAAATTGAAGGTAAGAATGGAAGTAACTGCAGAGGGCCTATTGGCCCATATTTCTTGATGCTTCTATATTGGAGCGGAGTCTTGAAGTGGGTAGAATATAGTTGTGCATTAATTGGCTGTGATTGCTGGTGTTAACTTCTTGATGTGTAGTGCCTCGCAGATGTCAAGCCGCCTGCTATCACTGTATCTATCGATGATTTCTGTGTTTTGCTAAGATTTCCCTGGTGATGGTCTGGTTGTGGGAAGAGATTATATGTTCATTAATGGAGCCCTGTTGCTTATGCATCGTTAATCGCCTGGAAAGAGATGTTGTTGTTTTGCCTATATACTGAGTTCTTTGAGGCTTACAGTCCCCAAGTGGGCATTTGAAGGCATAGACGACGTTGGTCTCTTTTAAAGCGGTTTGCTTTGTGTCTGGAGAGTTTCTCATGAGTAGTCAGGCCGTTTTCTTGGTTTTATAGTAAATCGTCAGTTATATCTTCTGATTTTTGTCTGTAGGGATAAAGTTTCTATTAACAATATCTATCAGGACCCTTTCCTCCGTTTTATGAGCTGTGGAAAAGAAGTTCCTGTAAAATAGTCTAATAGGGGTATAGGTGTTGTGTTAGTTGTCTCTTCAGAGGTTGCATGGCGTTTCACCTTCCTTCTTATGATCTCTTCAACGAAACTATTGGAGAAGCCATTGTTGACTAGGACCTGCCTTACCCTACAGAGTTCTTCATCGACTTGCTTCCATATATATATATATATATATATATATATATATATATATATATATATATATATATATATATATATATATAACTGAAAACTCACACCCCAGAAGTGACTCGAACCCATACTCCCAGGAGCCACGCAACTGGTATGTACAAGACGCCTTAATCCACTTGACCATCACGACCGGACATAATGAGGTGATAGCCGAGGCTATTTGAACCACCCCACCGCCGGCACTCGGATAGTAATCTTGGGCATAGCATTTTACCAAATCACCTCATTCTTTGGGGCACACGTGAGGAACACAAATGCGAACAAGCCTGAATGGTCCCCAGGACAATATGCAACTGAAAACTCACACCCCAGAAGTGACTCGAACCCATACTCCCAGGAGCCACGCAACTGGTATGTACAAGACGCCTTAATCCACTTCATCACGACCGGACATAATGAGGTGATTGCCGAGGCTATTTGAACCACCCCACAGCCGGCACTCGGATAGTAATCTTGGGCATAGCATTTTACCAAATCACCTCATTCTTTGGGGCACACGTGAGGAACACAAATGCGAACAAGCCTGAATGGTCCCCAGGACAATATGCAACTGAAAACTCACACCCCAGAAGTGACTCGAACCCATACTCCCAGGAGCCACGCAACTGGTATGTACAAGACGCCTTAATCCACTTCATCACGACCGGACATAATGAGGTGAATGCCGAGGCTATTTGAACCACCCCACAGCCGGCACTCGGATAGTAATCTTGGGCATAGCATTTTACCAAATCACCTCATTCTTTGGGGCACACGTGAGGAACACAAATGCGAACAAGCCTGAATGGTCCCCAGGACAATATGCAACTGAAAACTCACACCCCAGAAGTGACTCGAACCCATACTCCCAGGAGCCACGCAACTGGTATGTACAAGACGCCTTAATCCACTGACCATCACGACCGGACATAATGAGGTGATAGCCGAGGCTATTTGAACCACCCCACCGCCGGCACTCGGATAGTAATCTTGGGCATAGCATTTTACCAAATCACCTCATTCTTTGGGGCACACGTGAGGAACACAAATGCGAACAAGCCTGAATGGTCCCCAGGACAATATGCAACTGAAAACTCACACCCCAGAAGTGACTCGAACCCATACTCCCAGGAGCCACGCAACTGGTATGTACAAGACGCCTTAATCCACTTCATCACGACCGGACATAATGAGGTGATTGCCGAGGCTATTTGAACCACCCCACAGCCGGCACTCGGATAGTAATCTTGGGCATAGCATTTTACCAAATCACCTCATTCTTTGGGCACACGTGAGGAACACAAATGCGAACAAGCCTGAATGGTCCCCAGGACAATATGCAACTGAAAACTCACACCCCAGAAGTGACTCGAACCCATACTCCCAGGAGCCACGCAACTGGTATGTACAAGACGCCTTAATCCACTTGACCATCACGACCGGA